GCTATGGGTATGTCAAAAAAAAGAGACGAATTTCCATATAAAACGTAAAAGAAACGAAGAAAACAAAACAACGACATTTACGACACTGTCAATTAATTGTTTGCAAAATGCAAACACTGGTTGAAAGAAGACCATAGAAAAAGTAACAGGACGGCCAAAACGAAAAGGACCGATCGCATTTTTTTTACTAGTATTCCTTCCACTAATTCCTTGTAAAATTTGCTTCAGTTTGGTAACGTATCTGTCACTTTGACCATTTTTGCAAACGCACTTATGATAATTTGATACAGCTAGTGTTTTTCCATTATAGCAACGGGAAAACAGCCAAACAGTTGGCCAAAACATATCGAATTAAACTTAGAACAGTCTATAATATCATTAACCGCGCCGAAAAAGAGAATTAAGCAGCTATCAAGGCAGATTTCCATAGCTTTCTCGGCAGGATTGCTCACAAATTTTAAAAAGCATTGAAAATAAACCGCAAACGAGCCTCAGGGAGTTGGCCAATAATATTTACAATGACTGCAAGAAGTCCGTGTGCCATAAAACCATCAAATATATATATATATATATATATATATATATATATATATAAATGCGGGTCCATTTTTCAAAAAGGTTTTGTTAAAAAATAGAAATAAAATAAATCCATTGTTATATTAATATTAAAAAAATGTAGTTATTAAGAAAAATGTCGAATATATTAAATATTCACATTTAAAGCTAAAATTTGTCTATTTTTTGTGTGTACGCAGAGTTATGCGGGCAAGTGTATATACAGTCTGTCAACTAATTGTTTGCAAAATGAAATTTGTCACCAAATTTCAACTTTAACATTAAATTTATAAATAATGGCATTATTTGGGAATATTTTGCTTATCAATTATTATTAAGATATGTATTAGCTATGGGTATGTCAAAAAAAAGAGACGAATTTCCATATAAAACGTAAAAGAAACGAAGAAAACAAAACAACGACATTTACGACACTGTCAATTAATTGTTTGCAAAATGCAAACACTGGTTGAAAGAAGACCATAGAAAAAGTAACAGGACGGCCAAAACGAAAAGGACCGATCGCATTTTTTTTACTAGTATTCCTTCCACTAATTCCTTGTAAAATTTGCTTCAGTTTGGTAACGTATCTGTCACTTTGACCATTTTTGCAAACGCACTTATGATAATTTGATACAGCTAGTGTTTTTCCATTATAGCAACGGGAAAACAGCCAAACAGTTGGCCAAAACATATCGAATTAAACTTAGAACAGTCTATAATATCATTAACCGCGCCGAAAAAGAGAATTAAACAGCTATCAAGGCAGATTTCCATAGCTTTCTCGGCAGGATTGCTCACAAATTTTAAAAAGCATTGAAAATAAACCGCAAACGAGCCTCAGGAAGTTGGCCAATAATATTTACAATGACTGCAAGAAGTCCGTGTGCCATAAAACCATCAAATATATATATATATATATATATATATATATATATATATATATAAATGCGGGTCCATTTTTCAAAAAGGTTTTGTTAAAAAATAGAAATAAAATAAATCCATTGTTATATTAATATTAAAAAAATGTAGTTATTAAGAAAAATGTCGAATATATTAAATATTCACATTTAAAGCTAAAATTTGTCTATTTTTTGTGTGTACGCAGAGTTATGCGGGCAAGTGTATATACAGTCTGTCAACTAATTGTTTGCAAAATGAAATTTGTCACCAAATTTCAACTTTAACATTAAATTTATAAATAATGGCATTATTTGGGAATATTTTGCTTATCAATTATTATTAAGATATGTATTAGCTATGGGTATGTCAAAAAAAAGAGACGAATTTCCATATAAAACGTAAAAGAAACGAAGAAAACAAAACAACGACATTTACGACACTGTCAATTAATTGTTTGCAAAATGCAAACACTGGTTGAAAGAAGACCATAGAAAAAGTAACAGGACGGCCAAAACGAAAAGGACCGATCGCATTTTTTTTACTAGTATTCCTTCCACTAATTCCTTGTAAAATTTGCTTCAGTTTGGTAACGTATCTGTCACTTTGACCATTTTTGCAAACGCACTTATGATAATTTGATACAGCTAGTGTTTTTCCATTATAGCAACGGGAAAACAGCCAAACAGTTGGCCAAAACATATCGAATTAAACTTAGAACAGTCTATAATATCATTAACCGCGCCGAAAAAGAGAATTAAACAGCTATCAAGGCAGATTTCCATAGCTTTCTCGGCAGGATTGCTCACAAATTTTAAAAAGCATTGAAAATAAACCGCAAACGAGCCTCAGGGAGTTGGCCAATAATATTTACAATGACTGCAAGAAGTCCGTGTGCCATAAAACCATCAGAAAAGTACTCAATCGCCACAAGTACTCATCACATGTAGCAAGGAAGAAGCAATTCCTGTCTGCTGCGAACATTGAAAAGCGTTTGAATTTAGCAATATTTAATGCGAACCAATCTCAGGAGTATTGGAATGACGTCATTTTTTGTGACAAGACCAAGATCATGTTGTATTATCATGATGGACCCAGCAAAGTTTAGCAGAAACCAAATACAGCCCTCCAGACCAAAAACATAGTGCCTACAGCAAAATTCGGCAAACTGTATTTATGGTTTGGGGCTGTATTTCATCCAAAGGCATTGGAGAGCTGCGCATATTTGATGGTTTTATGGCACACGGACTTCTTGCAGTCATTGTAAATATTATTGGCCAACTCCCTGAGGCTCGTTTGCGGTTTATTTTCAATGCTTTTTAAAATTTGTGAGCAATCCTGCCGAGAAAGCTATGGAAATCTGCCTTGATAGCTGTTTAATTCTCTTTTTCGGCGCGGTTAATGATATTATAGACTGTTCTAAGTTTAATTCGATATGTTTTGGCCAACTGTTTGGCTGTTTTCCCGTTGCTATAATGGAAAAACACTAGCTGTATCAAATTATCATAAGTGCGTTTGCAAAAATGGTCAAAGTGACAGATACGTTACCAAACTGAAGCAAATTTTACAAGGAATTAGTGGAAGGAATACTAGTAAAAAAAATGCGATCGGTCCTTTTCGTTTTGGCCGTCCTGTTACTTTTTCTATGGTCTTCTTTCAACCAGTGTTTGCATTTTGCAAACAATTAATTGACAGTGTCGTAAATGTCGTTGTTTTGTTTTCTTCGTTTCTTTTACGTTTTACATGGAAATTCGTCTCTTTTTTTTGACATACCCATAGCTAATACATATCTTAATAATAATTGATAAGCAAAATATTCCCAAATAATGCCACTATTTATAAATTTAATGTTAAAGTTGAAATTTGGTGACAAATTTCATTTTGCAAACAATTAGTTGACAGACTGTATGTACAGTGGCTCACAGCTTATTTTATGCAGTAGATATTTTTTTCTTCAAAACCTTATATCTTTAAAACCGATAAGAATAATGATAAAATTGAAATGCAGTTTTGTATTGATATATTTAAAGAATATAAAACGAAAGTCAAAGTGCAAAATATGTTCCCCCCTCTCCCATAAAAGAGAAGAACTGAACATCGAATTTTTAGCTCACGGCTTATTTTATGCAGACACTTTGGAATGTAGTGGCACTTCATGTTTACGTTATTTAACGGTACTTTTTGCTTGTATCCCTTTGTTATACTGCTGTTAGTGATTTTCCATTGGTTTCATTTCAATTGGGTCACTTGGAGTGTGTAGCTGTGAACATATTTAAAATCGGTCCGCGAACAACAATTGAACAAAGAGAATTGGTTATATACCACTTTAAAAATGGTCATTCCCAAAGAAAAATTGCTGAAATGGTCAATCTTAATGTCTCTACGATCCAAAAAATAATAGAACTTTTTGTGGACGAGAATCGAGTGGAAAATAAGGACAGAAAGGCGCCGAACTCTATTTAAAGTGACCGAGACAAGCGGTACATTATATAAAACATTAAAGAAAATCCGCAACTGTCAGCTCCGAAACTTGCATTCCAAGTTCGGGAAAGCTTGTCCAAACAGTGCTGCGTGGAAACTGTTCACCGGGTATTGCGCGATCATGATTTTAATGGCCGAGTAGCTCGCAAAAAACCCTTCATTAATGCAAAAAACAAACTTTGTAGACTGAAATTTGCTAGCGAAAACGTTTTGAAATCCCCAGAGTTTTGGAAGTCAGTAATATTTGCAGATGAGTCCAAATTCAACATTTTTGGATCGGACGGCATTTCTTACGTTTGGAGGAAACCGAATTCCGAGCATAAAAAAGAAAATTTGAAGCCAACTATAAAACATGGCGGTGGCAGCGTCATGGTTTGGGCCTGTATGTCGGCTGCTGGTACAGGAAATCTGGCGTTTATTGAGAACACAATGGACAAACTCCAATACCTTCAGATATTAAAAGACAATTTGTTGCAGAGTGCCACAGATCTCGAAATACGGTTGAATTTCAGTTTCTACCAAGATAACGACCTCAAAAATAAAGCGGGTACAGTTCAGTCCTGGCTGATTTATAATTGTCCCCACTTGATGTGCCCGGCAGCGCACAATAGCCTAAAATTGGCGCTGCAAACTGAATGGCGGAATATTTGACCAAAAGCTGGTATCATCAATGCAAAATCGCCTTAAATTAGTTATAGATAACAAAGGCTATCATACAAAATATTGAAAAAAAAAAAAATTGTTTTGAAAACGAAAGTTCTCTACATGAAAAGTAGCTGCATAAAATAAGCTGTGACTTGAAAATACCAGTATTTTTTGTTTTTTAATGTTTAAGGCATTTAGTTCTTATACTTTGATAATAAATTACGTTCCTTATTAAACTACAAAGTGTGCACTTTCAAATGGTACTAATATTTTCATTCAGGCTATGATAGTTTCATTTTTACCGACCTCTGAAGTCGAGAATATGCACTGCATAAAATAAGCTGGGAGCCACTGTATGTATGTATGGTATGCACATTTGTTTGTAAACCTTAAACAAGAACCATTTTCTTTATACTTACTCCATTTAAGACTTGCGTATCTAACAACTCAACAAATAACTTATACGCTAGATCCTTGTTTCCATTGGATAACATCGAGATGCCTCGCAAATATTCCGACTCTGCGATGGACTCCTGTGAACATAAACCAACATGATACGAACAAGGTTTTGCATCATAGTATAACAAACCTGAACATCATTTGCAATTTGACTTTCATTCAAGTTCGTGTCATTTTTCCATTTGTCATTTCCAATATCATTGAGTGCTACTATGCGAAACATCTCATTAGTTAAGATCGACCGGCAAATCCACACCAAGTTAAACTAAAAGTTTGAAGTGACCATATTTCCGGTAGAAAATAATGCAGATAACTGCGACATTTTGCCAAGTATTTCCGATACCAATGAGTTTAAGTATTCCATGCAAAATAAAAGTTATCGATATACAAAATAAATTTAAAAAAATTACAGGGTAGCGTAACCCTATAATGCCTTATTTTTCTAACTGAAAATCATTTCAGACAAATTTATGGCCAAAGTGAAACAATTTGAAGTTAGTTATCTGATAAAGCGCTTAGTTTAGCTGAGCCAAGCAATTGTACAAAACGCCTGAATTTCTAAATTGCAACCCGTCATATCCCATATCAAACCCGTCGTATATATTTCTAGCTCCAAAAGAGGGAAAAAGGTCTCCAAACTTTGTTTGCAAAATCTGTGACTTTTAATTTGGGCTTAATAATCTATCAAAGAATACAAAAAACAATTAGAGAATCTAAAGTCGGGTGTTCCGATTTTTAAATAATCTGTACATTATAATAATAGAATAATTATGGAATTTAAAAAAATTGAGAAAATTTAAAAAAAAATTTGATCGATTTTACCCCTCTCGGTATTCGAACTCACGTAAAGGGTGTATAATTGCACATTTACAAAGCAATTGCGGATTCACATAAGGCATCTTGGACTAAAATTTGGCGTCCCTAGGTCTTATAGTCTCCGAGATATAGGCGATTATACGAATGGAAAAACGGGAAAACCCCCATATGGGGGGAAGTGGGAAAAAAAATCACAAAAATAAAACTAATTTGCATAGCGCACGGCTCGTCAACATCATCGACTCGTCTTGACATGCTGATCCACAATATATATAGTTTGTGGGGTCTGCCACGCCTTCTTCTGCCTGTTAAATTTTTTACCTCCCGCAAGCCTAATATACTCTTGTACATTTCATGTACAGAGGATAATTAATAATTGCGTCCGAGAGGTGGAGGGAGGGAAATTCCAAAATACGCATTTACGGCAATGGGAAAATAATTTAGCAGAAATCTCCGGAGTTTTCGCCTACAGTTGTTTTTTGAATCTCAAAAAAATCGTCGGTGCCATTGAACTTTGAAAGATTTCATTTTTTCGAGCTTTCCCTCCAAACCAGCTGTGACTATCGACGCTTAAATTTGACTGACTAATTCTATATAAATCTTGTAACGCACTCAGCTGCCACTTACAGCAGTCAGCAACAGCTGATTGTCGACGATTACATTTGACTGACTAATTGTGTTTAAATTCTTTATCATAATACTTTGTTAAATAAAAAACAAGATAGAACGCTACAGTCGAGCAAGCCCGACAGTAAAATACCCTGTACTCTCATCACGTCACAAAAAAGGAAAATTAAAAAAAAAAAATGTCTTAAAAAATGTAAAAATGTTAAATGGAGTGGGGGGTACATCGGAAAAAACTCATGCGCTTACTTTCTCGGTCTTAGGAGAATCTGGATACCAAGTTTGGTTATTCTAGATCTTATACTTTATCAAATCCTTGCATTCGTACAGACAGACGGTCAGGCGGACGGACAGACGGACATGGCTATATCGACTTGTCTTGTCATCCTGTCAATAATATATTTTTTGGGGTCTGCTACTCCTCCTTCTGCCTGTTACATACATTGGCACAAAACTAGTATAGCCTTTTACCCCTTGGGTACGGGCTATAACAATCATAACTACTAATTTCCCAAAGGAAATTATGTATCTTCACGTCAGACAATAATTCAAATTAAAAGAAAAGCGAGTACAGATTTTTTAAGTATATAACTTGAATAATAAACTTATATTGAATTAAAACCTACTGCAAAAAATTCAATCAATAAGTCCATCCCGATTCGTAGTTTCGCAATTTTGAAATCCAATTCAAAACCCACTTCCGTTTTTTGTCGCATAATGTCAGGGGATATTTTGGCTTACATCTTATAAACTTCAAGGTCGAATTCTATAATTTTTTTTAACGCATATAGGGCTAGTAAACTACTACTCAGCTATAAAAAAAATTTTGTTTTTTTCATTTAGTTTAATATTTTGTTGCACGAATATCACATCACGTCAGATTGGAAATGCCCATGTGTGGTTTTAAGTTGAGAGGGATGATATCAAAAGGTCTAAAGTTAGTAGGGTCTGACTCTTGACATTTTTTTCTAAATATTTATAGTCTATCTACTGGTTTGTTTTCAGAAACCAAAAACCGTACTCGAGATCGGCAATAATTTTGTCTATTCCCTAACATATTATAATGATAAAGATAAATAATAAATAATAAATTTAATTGATTCCTAAGTTATAAAGTAAATTAATTCCTTAATATTGATGAATGCACCTATCCTGTTTCCCACATGCATAGTTAGCTAGAGTGCTATTTCCCGCTGAATTGGAGGATCTGAGGACAACGTGGACCCGTACCACATGCGTCAACGACGGTAGCAACAGCCGAGGTACTTGCAATAGCACATTCTTTAAAGGACAAGAAGACACCAGATCCAGACGCAATACCAAATCGAGCGCTGAAACTGGCACTAGCGAAGCATCCCCACTTCGCAGTGCTGTTCGAAACCGGACTGTTGGAAAATCCACATACTGGTACTTCTCCCAAAACCAGGTAAACCACCCGGTTAGCCCTCCTTATATAGGAAAATTTGCTTGCTGATGGTTAAAAATTAGTTTGCACGAGACAGGAGACGGCATTGAACGAGGCTGGCGGTTTTTCCCCTAACCAGTACTATTTCCGGAAAGCTAAATCTACGCTGGATTGGGCAGCACGCGGCATCCCAGCATATCTTATCCATTGCATCCTTAGCTATTTTAGCAATAGGGTGCTGCTTTATGAGATTTCCTTCTGCACGAGGACTTACAAAATTTCAGCAGAGGTACCATAAGTTTAAGTTTTTCGGCCTCTTCTGTGGAATGTTATACATGACTGTGATCTGCGATTTCAGCTACCAGCTGGTAGAGAGGTAATCGGATTCGTAGGTGATGTAGCGGTATGGACGGCTCAGCGACGCCCTCACTGCGCAAGGATGTGCGCGCAAGCGCGAGGCAGTATGGCCTTAATTAATAGCAAGGGCCGTTGAACACAACTAATCCCCAATATTGCGGAAGGGGTCCAGAAAAAGCATGGATTTGTGACGTTTCAGCTTACACATATCCTAAGCTTTTACAGCTATTTATTCTGCCTCGTTCACAACGACGAAACCGAATATATGTACCTTCTGCGGGCATGGTATAAATGAGCAACACCAAGTCACCTTCGTGTGTCCCAGGTTCGAGAGGGCTAGGAGTCACCTTTAAAACTTGTTAGGGGAACCACTGTCGCTCGCACACTTCACCAGCAGCATGTTGGCGGACAAGCGTTTTTGCAATGCCAGCTGCGACTCCGCGCCCACCGAGAGTTTGCGAAAACTAAAGCGCGAACGCCAACGAGAATAGATGTAGACTGGTTAACGCTCGGGTGAAGCAAAGCTCCACGGCCGTACCGCCCGGTGCTAACAAATACACACAAGGAAGTACAGGTACAGAGACAAAGCATGCTATGTGGAAACGGAAAGGGTAGCGAAAGCCACAAACGCTCTATACTCTTGCCATCAGTACCAGATGAGGATTCTATCCTAGTGTTGTATACTGCATTTAGCTGGCTCTAAGGCAATCCGTTTTTAGAGAATTAAATGAACTAGATAAACTTTAGATTACTATCATAGATCTGTTAGACCTTTAAATAACCTAACTTAACATAAACTACTTTGTTTACGCAATTATATATATATGTATATGCATTTGTGCAACTGTATCCACATAATTGCGTAAACAAAGTAGTTTATGTTAAGTCCAAAAGCCTTTCTTAGTGTGCTCCTACATTATGATGGATACTATGAAAGGATACTTCAGTCAAAATTTCATCTTTTACCGTTTGGGCTGTGCGTTGATCACCAATTAGTCAGGACAAACTGTTTTATATATAGAGAAACCGCAACGTTTTAAGATAGACTATGTGCAAAAAAAGGGGAATAATTATAAGGGTGTATCCTAATTATTAATTCACATTTGAGTCTTTTCGTGCCATATTAAGTCAATACGGTTACGCACAAACTCGGAATATGAAACACGGCACACGTGTCAATGCCATGCAGCGATGAGCCACGATCAAAAAGCACTGACAATTCTCATCTCAATTTGCTAGAGTAAAACTTTCGATAGTTGAAGCCACCGATAGCATCAAAATATCGAAGTTTGAATGGAATAAGCAGAATATTTAAATAATAAAATCTAATTATTTATTGAGATCAGTAAGAACAAATCATATACATACATACATCTGCCCGAAATACAAAGCAGAATATGCGTAGCTCCGTTATTCGGTTTCTGCTTTACTATCGCTTACGCAGTCGTTGTCTAGCGACGGTAACTGTAAACTTTTGGCGTTTTCCCTTTGCAATTAACATTAAATGGTCAAAACGAAAGAAGAAGAGCGAGCCAATGACTTGCAGTTGTTGTTGTTTTTAGAGCATTATTTTTTTTACAATCAAACAACTGTGTTCGATTGCCCAATGTATACATTAATACGAATGTACATACATGCTATATTCATACTTTTTCAACCGTACGTGGAGAACCGCACACATAGACACGAACTGTTGCTTGTTGTGTGTGTGAGTGTGTGTATGTGATGTCCAACTATTTGATATTTGTTGTTGCTGCATAAAGCTATTAATGAAAACCCTAATGCCAAATGCACTAAACAAAGACAAAATTACTTTTAAAAATGTTATATAATTTTCAATTAATTAACATTTCTTGCTCTGTCAGTGCAAGACGAATGTACAAACATACACATGTAGATACATATGTACATACATAGATGTGCACATATGTATGGACATTCACACATTAGTGTCTCACATGTTGCTTTGGATATTTCAATCGTTTGCACGCAACTACACGAACAGCTGTTTGCATGTGTGTGTGTGTGTATGTATACTTAG